CCGCGGGGTCTTGATTCTGGATGAGAAAAACAGCACCCCCCCCCCCTCCGGGAAAGCTTGGCCCTGCTGGGCAATCTATCCTCCTAGGTGGGAAAGGGTACTATTTCCTCCGGGTTTCGGACCACCCATCCCACCTGAGGGAGTACGCTGGGAGAGCCAACTTGCCCTGCCCCGGCCGGTGGGGGTGGGGATGGTCCCGACGATGATGATTTATGATCAGTGCACCATGCGCCTTCAGCCTCCGAAGCCTCGGCCGCCCTCACGCGGGCGTGCGTCCCTACGTCGGAAGCCTCCTCGACGACCGTCGCGTCCATGCACGCTCGAAGGTGACCAGCAGCAGCACGAGGATGACCATCGGCGTGGGCAGCGGCTGTAACGGAGGCCAGAAGATGACCACCAGCGGTACCAGCAGCGGCACGGGGATGATCAACCACGTGGGCATCAGCTCCTGCAGCAGCCCGAGGATGAACATCGGCGGCGCCCGTAGCGACACCAAGATGACCATCACCATGGTGAGCTCCCGAAGACTGGGGAGACCGAAAGGTACCGATACTGCTACTCCCCGGACCTCTCCCGGGGTGCGTTCTGACCAGGATTTCGAGGCGAATCCACCCGTGGCGACGAGGGCCGCCCAGGAGGCCCAAAAAGGGGAAGTCGGGCGAGGGGGTAGAGGTATGGGTACCTTTTCCTCCTCCTCCTCCTCCGAAAGACGTCCCTCATCGTGGGCAGCGCCTCCAGCATCGCCACGAGGATGGAGGACGTCGGACCCGATGAACACGCCGGTCGGCAGCGGCTTCTGTAGCCCGAGCGCCTGCCCAGCCGCCGCCTCGTCCACCGCGAATTCGCACGCCAAGAGCGGCCCCACGACGAAGGGACACGGCGAGTAGACGACGGCGCCACACGTGCACCTCATGCCAAAGGACGCCGCCGTCGGCAGGGCTTCTCAGTGCCCCTGCGGAGTGAAGACGAGGGCGTCCCGGCGCAGCGACGATACCACGGTACCAGCGCCCAGCCGAGGGCCCTTCTGCACGCGCTTGAGCTCTGTCGCCGAGGCCGAACGTACTGTGGGTCCTCGGGGAGCTCGCCGCGTGCAACGCCACGTTCGAGTAGGGAAGAAGCCCAGCCAGCATCGCAGCAAGAGCGGGTGCGCACTCTGAAGGGCGAGCGCCGACCTCGCCTCCTCCGCCGAGGGCGTCGACGATCCCGAGGAGCGTGACCCGAGCGGTCTTCGGCGAGTGCAGCTCCGTGGAGCTTCCTGTGCCGCGCGCCTCGCTGTTGTGCGAGCTGCGCGCAAGCGCGGGTGGAATCCACGAACTTCACGACCACCCTGCGGTGACCTGTCCCGTGCCATCCCAAGCTTCGAGGCGACCCCCCCCCCAGCAGCACCGGCCCAGACCGCGCCAAGAGGAAGGATGCGGAAGTTGGGGGTCCCAAAACCGTGGGGTGACAGAGCTGGCGGTGACCTCGCAGCCCCCAAAGACCTCACCCAGGGTCCGTCACCACACGGTTTTGGGACCCTGGAGGCCCCAGTCGCCCGAGACGTCCTCGGAGAACGACCTAAGTCCCAAAACCGTGCGGTGACCCCGAATCACCCCCGGCTCACCACACGGTGTGGTCACCACCCCGTTTGGCGGGGCCCCCGAGGAAGGAGGGATAGAGGGGGGGGGCCAGGGAGGCCCGGGGCCAGGTGCTCGGCAGGGTGTGGCGGTAGCGATCCCGACAGTTCCAACGCGGCAACGCAGAGATGGTGCTAAATGCCACAGGCCAGCGAGGCCCCATTACCGCGTCATTACGACAGCTTCCACCACCACGCCTACCACCACCACGGCAACATCCAACACGACCGCCATGACCATGACAGCGACCACGGCGGCAGCGTCGAGCAGGGCCACATTGGCCACGACGTCCACGACGGCCGGCGGCATGGCCACTCCCCTCCACGACGACCACGGCCATCTCCATGACCCCCCGACGACCCGACTGCAGACCCCCGTCTGTCCCCCCTCCCAATCCTTGCCACTGCTGGCCGCCCCTGCTTGCGATACGCTCCCCCGCACAAAAACAACCCCACCCCACTCCACACCCCCTACCCCCCGCCTCCTCCTCCTTCTCCTCTTCCCACTCCTCGTCCTCCTCCTCCTCCTCCTCCTCCTCCTCCTCCTCATCCTCATCTTATTATTATCATTATTATTAGCATTCGTCTTATCATTATTTTGTTATTGGTATTACTACTAGCCGTACTCTTATTCGTAGTCTTATTATCATTGTTCTTAATATTCTTAATACACGTATAATTCTTCCTTCACATCATTCGGACTCTTATGATTAGTCACCGTATTCGTATTAGCATGTGTTGTCGCCTCGTCTTAATATTAGTATGATGCTTACTCGCTTTATTATTACTAGTCCTGGTATTAATCCGATTCTTACACTTTGCTATTAGTATATTTTTCCCCGTAACTGTATTATTAATATTAGTAATATGCGTGTTCGCATGTGTCTTCGTATGAGCTTACTGTGTTTAGCATGATGGTTATTATATTTGCTCGGATTAGCAACCGTCACTCTTATGTAATGTTAGTACTCGCTATAGTAGCATGACTACAACTATGATTAGTACTAGTAGTGTTGTTCCTGTTAATAGTATCATTCGTTTTATGTGGATTGCTCTTACTAGTATGATGAGTATTGTTATGATTCTCTCTCCTCCTCCTCTTCCTCCTCTTCCTCCTCTTGTTCCTCCTCCTGCTTTTCCTCATCCTCCTCCTCGTCCTCCTCCTTCTCCTCCTTCCTCCGCGAGCTGGGGCATTCGCAGGTGACTGCGGCCACGGCGTAATTCTTCTCAGCATTTTGCGTCAGTAATTTCATCGTTGTTAAGAAGCACTTCCTGGCCAGGATTGCCACCGTACTAGGTGTCAAGGAGGCGGGGTCGTGGAAGTGTTTTGCGCGGGACCCAAGACCATAACCCCTTTGCCTGGGGATCCCCCTGTGCGACGGGACTGGGGACCCACTCGGGCCCCCCGTGGTTTTCAGGGAGGGGGCTGGGGAGAAGGGAAGGGAGGAGAGGATGGAGGGGAGGGGAGGGTTGCGGAGGGACGGACGAGGAAGAGGAACGAGAGAGGGAGGCGGGAGATGGCGATGATGACGACGACGACGACGCTTCTGCTGCCGAAAAATGAAACGAGGAAACGAGAACGGGTACTGTTTCCGGCTCCCGCAGACGACGTAGTTCCAGACAAACGGGCGCGCAATTACGTTCGTGATGATGGACAGAAATCATGACATTGCTGCTGTTCCTTCTCCTCAGAGAGGATCTGACACGGCAGGATGGTGGGGACGTTTAGCAGCTGGGCGCAACATTGTATAGTGGATGCGGCTGTGCTTCCCCTGAACCAACCATGCAACGCATCTCCCCGTCAAGGCGTTTCTTTTCGTCGCTCAACTGATAGCTTGCCCACGTCCTTCACGGGACTGCGAACAACTCCAAGGATAGCGGCTTTGCAGGCCCGAGCTCAGGCACGACAAGCGTCGGCAGAGGAATACATCCAGAATGCATCAACCGATGCGGCAACACACCCTTTCGTCCCAAGTCCTTTCCTCGTAGTTCCATACAAGTGCTCATTTCCACTGTAGGTGCCCCGTTTGCATGACGAGCGGCCAGTCAGTTAAGGACGCCCGTTGTAAAGGGCCCCCCCCGCACTCGAAAGAAGCGCGCTGCGGGATATAATTCGCGGACTCCTGTTCCGAGGAAGTCCCACGCGAGAGCAACTCAACAAGGCCCGAGGAAACTCTCATTTTCAGAAGAGCATGCTTTCCATCCCTCTTCACGCTGCAAAATATCAAAGATGTCAACGCCGCGGACGCGCGCGGAAACGGCGGCCGTCTATCCGCGCTAGCCGTTGCACAACATGGAATTCCGGAACGTAGATGTCGACGAAGGCTCACGCGAGGGCAGATGGTGGAGTTTATATTCAAACGCGCGCGAGGCCAAGGGGTGACCCCAACACGGTGGGACGTTCGCCAAGGAATTCGCCCGAGAGGCTGCGGACCCTGGAAGCTTTCTTACATGATGCGGGCGGCGACGGTGTCCATGGCCGACCCACGAGTGGGTCCCCCTCGGCTTCGGGACCCTGGATTCCGCATCGAAGATATCCCTGTCTGATGCCACCACCATCTTGGAAAAAGGACTCGACTTCAACTCGCGCAGTCAGGACACATCAGAAGCCGAGCATGCGCGGCGCCTCGGCGAGAGCCCCTTTTTGAAGACGGGCCGCTCTCAATGTGTTCTTTGTTGTGCAAGACGACGGTGTTCGGCTCCAGCTTAGCGCGAGCCCAATTATGAAAACCGCGCGCCAACGAGATCTGAATTTATCCATTCTCAATTCCTTGAAGCTCCTGCGGAGGCGAGAACGATGAAGATGAGATGTGGATGCTGTTGCTGCTGGTGGCGACGGCGAACCTAGGAGGGCTTGGGGACGGATTGTAGCGTGTGGGAGCTTCTGGGAGCGTCGTGTAGCGTGTGGGAGCGCCGGGGGCAGCCTGGTGAGCGCTTGGGCCCTAGTCTGTCATCGGCGAGGGGGCGCCCGAAACGCATCGATTTTTGGTGGACTTGCCATAGATGTCTGACGTGTGTTATTGTTGTGCCCAGGTGTTGTTCTGTTGTGCCCAGGGGTTTATTCGGGGCCACAGTATGGGTCGATGTCTAGGATCAGCAGATGTGAATACTATTTCTTGCATAGGATGGTGAAGGATGGGTCGGATGGATATGTCCACACTTGCGTTTGTTGCAACTGCGGGTTGGGTCAGACGGATGTGCACCAGCAGCTGCTTTTACATTAGGATGACAAAGGATAGGTCGAATGGGTGTACGCCGTATGGTGGGCGCGCGCCGAACAACATTTGTTACGTAGGATTGTGAGGGCTGGATGTATGGATGTGAGCAAACTTATGCTATGTTGCATTGGGTGGTGAAGGTTGGGTTGGATGGATCTGCACCGAAAAATATTATATGCGTCTGATGGTGAGGATTGGGTCGTATGGACGCGCGCCAAGTGCTAAGGCGAGCGTCACGTTTGTTTAGAAGGAACCTGCCTCCACCCTTGAAACAGTTGCACATGTTTAACGCGAATTTGCGCGGCGCTATAACGAGAGCCAGATTTTGAAAACGAGCCAGCCTCCATCTTTGAAGCTGCCGCACATCTTAACACGAATTTGCACGGCGTTGAAGCGAGAGCTACATTCTGAAAACGACCCGGGCTCCATCCTTAAAACTGTTGCGATTGTCAAATTTCAAGATCATAAATTGCGAGAAAAGCCAAGCGAAACGCCTGGCCCTGCCTACGGGTACGTCCGGTGATGCGGCAAGGTAAAGTTGAAGAGTTATCTATAAGGAAAAAACGGAAGGAGAAAGGGAGGGAGGAGGAGGAGCACTGATGATGGCACCATTGGGCGGCCAGTACTGGCTCCGCGCGTTGCGGGAGGCCGCAGCGGCGTCTACGCTTTGACGGTGATGTTGCCGCCGCGGTACCTCGGCGGCAACGGGGAGGGTCTCCTCCTCCTCCTCCTCCTCCCCTTGCAAATTCTACTGCCTACCCCCCATCTTCATCCTCCTCCCCCTCCTCCTCCTCCGACTCTTCCTCCTCTTCCCCTTCCTCCTTCTCTTCCTCTTCTTCCTCCTTTTCTTCCTCATCCTCTGCCTCCTCGTCTTCATCCTCCTCCTCCACCTTTTCCTCCTCCTCCCCATCCCCATCCCCCTTCCCCTCCTCCTCCTCCCACCTTTTGCCTCCTCCTCCTCCATCCTCCCTTTTCCGTCCACCTCCCTCCTCCCTCTTACCCTCATCTCTCCTACCTTGTCCCCCCCTTCCAGATCTTTCTTGCAGTTCCCCTCATCCTCCTTCACTGCTCCCTCCAGCCTGGTCCATCTTCGCTCCTCCCTCGTCTTTAACCCTCCATTGGATCCTGGTCCTGCTCCTCCTGCTCATCCTGCTCCTCCTGCTCCTCGTGCTCCACCTGCTCTTCCTGCTCCTCCTGCTCCCCATCCTCCTTCTCCTCCTCCACCTCCTCCACCTCTTCCTCCTCCTCCTCCTTCTCGTCCTCCGCCTCCTCTTCTCCTTATCCTTATGGATAACTCCTCCCTGTCGCACCCCTAGGCCGGTCGAAAGGGCGGGCCAGGCGTTTCGCCAGAGACTTCCTCAACATCTATGATCTTGAAGCATAGATATTGGCTACAGCTTCACTGATGGAGGGGTGGGACGTTCCCAACATGTGGCTCCAGCCTTAGCGTCGCGCACATTCGTTTTGTTCAAATTTGAAATTCACGAGTTGAGGGCGAGAGGTTTTCAAAATGTGGTTATCGCCTTAGCGGCGCGCACATTCTTTGTAAAAGCTCACAAGAGTTTCACAGATTGAGGGCGGCTCGTTTTCAAAAAGTGGCCGGCGTCTTAGCGCCGCGCACATTCGTCCTACAAAAACGAAAGAGTATCACGGATTGAAGCCCGTTCCTTTTCGAAATGTGGCTCTCGCCCTAGCGCCGCGCAGCTTTGTCTTAAACATGTGCAAGAATTCCACGGATTCTCATGGTTAACGTATCAGGAACTGTGTTTCCCCAGGGCGCAACAGTCACGTTGATTCGCGGTGCTGAAGTCCCAGGAATGGTGTTCTGGCACGGTTCAAGATCGCCGATACGAAGGGGAGGCGGGGGCGGAGGCGGAGGCGGAGGAGGAGGAGGAGGAGGAGGAGGAGGAGGAGAAGGAGGAGGAGGAGGAGGAGGAGGAGGAGGAGAAAAAGGAGGAGGAGGAGGGGGATGATAAGGATGAGGATGAGGGGAATGGGAGGAGGAAAGAGGAGGAGGAGGAGGAGGAGGAGGAGGAGGAGGAGGAGGAGGAGGAGAGAAGAGGAGGAGGAGGAGGAGGAGGAGGAGGTGGGTGAAGAGGGGTCATCCCGACCACGCCCGCCGGGGTAGCTGTAGCGATCGTACGGCTCCCCCCCCCACATATTGGTGCTCGCCCGCATACAGCGGCGATCACAGCGCACCCCCGCCCCGACGTGGCCCACGCCGCTCAAGCGTTATTGTTGCCAGAAAGAATCAGACCTTTCGAGGATGGGGGGCCTCCGCCTCCGCCTCCTCCTCCTCTCCTCCTCTCCCTCCTCCTCCTCCTCTCCCCCCCATCCTCCTCAGCATCACCATCACCATCACCATCCTCCTCAGCATCACCATCATCATCATCATCATCATCATCATCATCATCATCATCATCATCATCATCATCATCATCATCAGCATCAGCATCAGCATCAGCATCAGCATCATCATCATCACCACCATCCACCATCACATCATCATCAGCACATCATCATCATCATCATCATCATCATCATCAGCAGCAGCAGCATCATCATCATCATCAGCATCATCATCATCATCATCAGCAGCAGCATCATCATCATCATCGTCGTCGGGTCGTCGTCGTCGTCGTCGTCGTCATCATCATCATCATCATCATCATCATCATCATCATCATCATCATCATCATCATCATCATCATCATCATCATCATCATCATCATCATCATCATCATCATCGTCATCATCATCATCATCAGCAGCAGCAGCATGATCATCATCATCATCAGCATCAGCACCATCACCATCATCATCATCATCATCATCAGCATCATCATCAGCATCACCACGTTCATCATCTGCAACATCATGATCATAATCGGCAACTGCATCATCATCATAATCAACATCATTAGCAGCATCATCATCACTGTCATTATCATCATCATCATCATCAGCAGCATCAGCATCAGCATCTTCATCATCATCATGAGCATCATCAGCATCATCATCAGCATCATCAGCATCATCATCACCAGCATGATCAGCATCATCATCAGCATGATTAGCTTCAGCATCAGCATCATCAGCATTACAACCATCATCCTCATCATCATCATCAGCAGCATCATCATCAGCATCACCATCATTACCATCATCAGCAGCATCATCAGCAGCAGCATCAGCATCATCATCACCAACATCATCATCAGCATATTCATCATCATCATCGTCATCGATCGTCATCATCATCACCATCATCACCACCATCAGCATCATCATCATCATCATCATCATCATCATCATCATCATCATCATCTGCATCATCAGAGGTATCATCATCATCACCATCATCAGCATCATCATCAGCAGTATCACCATCAGCATCAGCATCATCAGCATCAGCATCAGCATCTTCATCATCATCATCGTCATCATCATCATCATCATCATCATCATCATCATCATAAGCAGCAGCAGCAGTCCCATCATCATCAGCATAATCATCATCATCATCATCATCATCATCAGCATCGTCAGTACAAGCATCATCACAATCATCAGCAGCATCATCATCACCATCATCATCATGACCATCACCACCACGACCATCATCAACATCATCATCATCATCAGCATCATCATCATCATCATCATCCTCATCATCGTAATCATCATCATCATCATATGGTCATCATCATCATCATCATCAACATCATCATCGTAATCATCATCATCATCATCATCATCATCAGAATCATCATCATCATCAGCATCATCACCATCATCATCATCAGCATCACCACCACCACCATCATCAAAATCATCATAATCATCATCATCAACACCATCATCAGTAGTATCAGCATCAGCACAATCATCATCATCATCATCAGCACGATCATCATCAGCAACATCATAATCATAATCGTCAACCTCATCATCATCATAATAATCATCGTCAGCAGCATCATCATCACTGTCATCATCATCATCATCATAATCATCATCATCATCAGCATCAGCATCAGCATCTTCATCATCATCATCAGCATCATAATCAGCATCATCAGCATCATCAGCAGCATCATCAGCAGCATCATCAGCATGACTACCTTCAGCTTCAGCATCATCAGCATTACAACCATCATCCTCCTCATCATCATCATCATCAGCAGCATCATCATCATCAGCATCGTCATCATCATTACCATCATCAGCAGCAGCATCAGCAGCAGCATCAGCATCATCATCAACAACATCATCATCAGCGTATTCATCATCATCATCATCATCATCATAATCATCATCATCATCATCATCATCACCATCATCATCATCGTCATCGTCATCGTCATCATCATCACCATCAGCACCACCAGCATCACCATCATCAGCATCATCAGACGTATCATCATCATCATCAGCATCATCATCATCACCATCATCATCATCAGCAGCATCATCATCAGCATCAGCATCATCGTCATCATAAGCAGCAGCAGTAGTCTCACCATCATCAGCATAATCATCATCATCAACAGCATCATCATTAGTACAAGCATCATCACCATCATCAGCAGCATCAGCATCACCACCATCATCATGACCATCACCACCACGACCATCATCGTCATCATCATCAGCAGCATCATCATGATCAACATCAGCAGCATGATCATAATCATCATCATCATCATCAACATCATCATTATCATCATCATCATCATCGTCATCGTCATCATCATCATCAGCATAATCAGCATGATCATCATCATCATCATCAGCATCACCACCACCACCATCATCATCATCAGAATCATCATCACCAACATCATCAGTAGTATCAGCATCAGCACCATCATCATCATCATCAGCATCATCATCATCACCACGATCATCATCAGCAACAGCATAATCATAATCAGCAACCTCATCATCATCAGCAGCATGATCATCATCATCAGCATCACCACCACCACCACCATCATCATCATCATCAGCATCATCATCATCAGCATCAGCATCAGCATCTTCATCATCAGCAGCATCATCAGCATCATTATCAGCATCATCAGCAGCATCATCAGCAGCATCATCAGCATGATTAGCTCCATCATCAGCATCATCAACATTACAACCATCATCCTCATCATTATCATCATCAGCAGCAGCATCATCATCATCAACAGCATCATCATCAGCATTACCATCATCAGCAGCATCATCAGCAGCAGCATCAGCATCATCATCACCATCATCATCATCAGCATATTCATCATCATCACCATCACCATCATCGTTATCGTCATCGTCATCATCATCACCATCATCACCACCATCATCATCATCAGCATTATCAGAGTCATCATCATCACCATCATCATCATCATCATCATCATCATCACCATTATCAGCATCATCATCGGCAGCAGCATCATCAGCATCAGCAGCATCATCATCATAAGCAGCAGCAGTAGTCTCATCATCATCAGCATAATGATCATCATCATCAGCATCATCAGTACAAGCATCATCACCTTCATCAGCAGCATCATCACCATCATCATCATGACCATCACCACCACGACCATCATCAGCATCATCATCATCATCATCATCATCAACATCAGCATCATGATCATGATCATAATCATCATCATCATTATCATCATCATCATCATCATCACCATCATCATCATCGTCATCATCATCCATTTCCCCGTCCTTCCTCCTCCCGCAGCGACAGCGTCCTCCCTCTTCTTCCGTCTTCCTCCTTCTTCCTCCTGTACTTTCCCCGTCCTCCCCGTTCTTCCTCCTCCCGCCGCAGCAGCCGCGACAGCGGCGACGGCGGCAACGGCTGCGGCGGCGACGGCGCACGTCAAGGGGATCTTGTTGCCCCGGTTGCTGCTGTCCGGGCTCAAGCCGCGCGACCCAGGCGAGGGCCGGCGTCTGGGCGGGGTCCAGCTGGTGGCGCGCTCGGGGTACTCCTGGGGTCGCGTAGGGTGCGCAAATCACCCCCCTCTGGGGGAATACATCGACCCAGACCCCCCGCGTCGTGAAAAAAACACCACGCAGATGTTTGTTCACCATTTTTGTTGGCTTCTGGGATCCCTTACCCGGCCTCGGGATCGTCACAAGACTGAGCAGATCCCTTTTTCACCCCCCTCATGCTTCGCTCGCCCTCCACATCTCTCCTCACCCGGAGGCCGAAACTTGGAAAAAAAACTCCCGCCGTGAGATCTTCACGACGCGAGCATGTGGTGACCTCTTCCTCCTTTGAAGAGCGAGCGGAGAGTAAAGGAACGAGGACGAGGAAGCAGAACGAGCATCGGCGACTCCGAAGGCGTGGTTCGCAAAGGGTGTGGTTTACAACCCGCGCCTGTGGGGGCGGGCAAGGACCTCGGCAGATCTCTGCCGCGCCACGACGAGGACTCGTCAAACCTTTGGGGCAACATGGTGATCCCCTAAGCCCCAACTGGCCATCGCTCGGACGTCCATTCCCTGTGCTTTTTTCGGTTTCGCGCGTGGTTTTTTCGCCGAATGATCAAGGATGCTCCTCGATGGTCCTCGCCGAAGGAAAAATGCACACGTCCCAGCGATGCCGAGCCAACGGCGCCGATCGCAAACCACACCCCGGCGCAACCGCACCCGCTGTGGCCGCCGAGGGCAGAGCAGCAGGGCACAGCGCCAGAGAGGCAGAGCCGGTGGGTCAATGCAAACCTGGGTCCGTCGGGCGTTGCAGGATCCTGCAAGATCCTGCAGTCGGCTGCACGTAAGAGTGACCCTGGGTAAGAGTGACCTTTGGTGCGCGGCTTTTTGGGGGGCGCGAGGAGGCCAAACACAAGCGCGCAAGACGCTAATATCGCAACGAGCGCGGCGATCGGGGGACCCCATTTGGCCCGCACCAAAGGTCACTCCGGCGAAAGGTCACTCTTACGTCTAGTCGACGCAGGATCCCGCAGGATCCGACACCCAGACCCGGGCCAATGCGACCCTGGCCGGGCAAGATCCTGCAAAATCCGGCGCTCTGACTGACTACCGACCAGAGCACCCCAACTCGACCCAAGGACCCACATATCGGGTTGCGAGGGTACGGGTTCCACGTGTGTTTTCGATGCGCCCCGACGCGCCGCCCCCACTGGGAATGGAGGGCAAATTGGCGCCTTCGGGTAGGGTTGGGGTCGTTTTTCAGGTGGTGACTGACTGACCCCCGTTTGCAGTGGCCCCTGTCCCTCGAGCCCCGAAGAGCAAGGGAGGAGGAGGCTCCGGCGCGAGCGGCACCAGGAAAGGCTGGCTGTTGACCGTGCCGCCGCCGCCGCCGTCCGACTGCGCCCGCGCGGGGGGCAACGACAGCGGCACTTGACGGAGCACGACGAGGAGCGCACATGGAGCGAGAACGAGGAGAGGCGTAGGTACCTCCTCCCCCTCCTCCTCCTCCACCCCTCTCTCTTCCACAATACACAATCTGAATACTACTCTCTTCCCTCCAGTGACTCTGTCCAGAAAGTGTCCTGTCCTCTCTGCGTATGATCTTTTACACACAGAATGTCATCATTTGGTTTTTCCTATGTGTGTTTTTAATGCGGTAGTTTCTGAGATTCCAAGGTGGTGCTCCCGCTGCAGCGCCGCCCTCATTTCCGCGCTTCGGTCATTCAGGACCATGCTCCCGCTGCAGCGCTGGCCTCGTTCCCCCGCCTCCGGACGGCACTTGGCATTCGAAAGCGCCCACATCGGAGTGAGGCACCGCACAGACCCGAGCGGGACCTCGCCGTCCCTGGGGGGCTGCGATCTGCGACACTGTCGCCACTTTCGAGGGCTGCTGGTGTGTCCAGCGGGGTGAAGCACCGCGCAGACCTGAGCGGGACATCGCCGTCCCTGGGGGGCTGCGCTCTGCGACATTGTCGCCACTTTCGAGGGCTGCTTGTGGGTCCAGGGGTTCACTTAGTTACTCATCTCAACCAATTTTGTTGTTCCCTTGATCGGGGACCTGCGAACCTCCCGAATGCCGCTCGCAAAGGTATACGCGTGCATGTCACGTTGTCGCCCTCTCATCAAATCTCCCGAGCTACTCCTGCCGAGCATTGCGCAGGGGTTGGGTACGTCGCCAGGGTAATTGATTCCCCCCCCCCCGTTGAAACGTCTGGCCGCCGTGGGGGCATGCGCGGACATGGTACTAGAATCGGCTACACACAAGAGTGACCCTGGGTAAGAGTGACCTTTGGAGGGGAACGAACAATGACAACCCAACCCCTGCCCGATGCGGGGCGTAAAAAGCTTGGGAGACGTCATACGGAGGTGATGACGTGACATGGGCGCATATACTTCTGCGAGAAGCATTCGTGAGGCTCGCAGCCCCCCAGGGATTGCGAGGTCCAGCTCAGATCTGCGTGGTGCCTCACTCCGCTGGACCCACCAGCAACCCTCGAAAATGGCGACAATGTCGCAGATCGCAGCCCCCCAGGGACGGCGAAGTCCCGCTCAGGTCTGCGCGGTGCCTCACTCCGCTGGACCCACCAGCAGCCCTCGAAAATGGCGACAATGTCGCAGATCGCAGCCCCCCAGGGACGGCGAGGTCCCGCTCAGGTCAGCGCGGTGCCTCACTCCGCTGGACCCACCAGCAGCCCTCGAAAGTGGCGACAATGTCGCAGATCGCAGCCCCCCAGGGACGGCGAGGTCCCGCTCAGGTCTGCGCGGTGCCTCACTCCGCTGGACCCACCAGCAGCCCTCGAAAGTGGCGACAGTGTCGCACATCGCAGCCCCCTTGGGACGGCGAGGTCCCGCTCAAATCTGCGCGGTGCCTCACTCAGCTGGACCTGCAGATCGCAGCGACGGAGGGAGGGGAGAGGTCCCGCTCAGGTCTGCGCGATGCCTCACTCCGCTGGACCCACCAGCAGCCCTCGACAGTGGCGACAATGTCGCAGATCGCAGCCCCCCAGAGACGGCGAGGTCCCGCTCAGGTCTGCGCGGTGCCTCACTCCGCTGGACCCGGCAGCAGCCATCGAAAGTTGCGATAATATCGCAGAGCGCAGCCCCCCAGGGACGGCGAGGTCCCGCTCAGGTCTGCGCGGTGCCTCACTCCGCTGGACCCACCAGCAGCCCTCGAAAGTGGCGACAATGTCGCAGATCGCAGCCCCCCAGGGACGGCGAGGTCCCGCTCAGGTCTGCGCGGTGCCTCACTCCGCTGGACCCACCAGCAGCCCTCGAAAGTGGCGACAATGTCGCAGATCGCAGCCCCCCAGGGACGGCGAGGTCCCGCTCAGGTCCTCGCGGTGCCTCACTCCGCTGGACCCACCAGCAGCCCTCAAAAGTGGTGACAGCGTCGCAGATCGCAGCCCCCCACCCAGAGACGGCGAGGTCTCGCGGGAGACAGGAGGCAGGAGGCAGGAGGCAGGAGGCGAGAGGAGGAGGAGGAGGAGGAGGAGGAGGAGGAGGAGGAGGAGGACGCGACCGCAGTGCTCTATTCAAAACGAATACCCAACCAAGGAGGGTTGGGAAAAACTCGGAGGTCCGCACGATCCGAAAGATCCGCGCGAACCGCCAAATTTTTACGTTTATGTCATTGTTCGTTCCTCTACTTTCGCGCGCGGCTTAACGGGGGCCGCCGGGGGCCAAACACAGACGCGCAAGCCGCCGCTATCGCCTCGCGCTCGGCGAACTTCGCATTGGGCCCGCACCAAAAGGTCACTCCGGCCAAGGATCACTCCTACGTGTAGCCGATAACAGTAGTGACGATAGCAGCATTGCTAGCAGTAGGAGTACACGTCGGTTGGAAGCGGGCAGAAGCGGGTGACTGCCCGCCCCCTCAAAAAAGGACGACAGAGGTTAAGCCACTCGGTGTTGAAATGGGAAGGCGCCTGGATGAGCTTGGAGTTTGGGAAGCCCTTCTACTTGAGCTGGCGTGTACCAGCGCGTGCCGGTGGTAGGGGGCCACATGTGAGCCCCACCCCTACCCCCCACAATTTCCGAGGGGGAGGGTGGGGTTCACTCCGTTCGGGAGCTCCCGAGGGAAGTGAACCCCGCCCTCACCTCAAAACTCCTGGGGGGTAGGGGTAGGGTCCACACGTGGCCCCCTAGGCAGAGGCCACGAAGGCGACGAGGGCGACGACGACCACCCGCGGCGACGACGACGACGGCGACAGCGGCCGCAGGCCCAGGCAGGGCCGGGAGGCCCCCGGGGAGCGGCTGCGGCCCCGGGCCGGCCTCCGGCGCGAGCGGCAGCAGGAAGGGCTGGCCGTGGACCGCGCCGCCGCCGCCGCCGTCCGCCTGGCGCCCGCGCGGGGGGCAGCGACGGAGCGGCACTCGACGGAGCACGGCGAGGAGCACACGTGGCGCGAGAGCGAGAAGAGGCGTGGGCATTTCCTCCTAGGCCTCCTCCTCCTCCTCCTCCTCCTCCTCCTCCTCCTCCTCCTCCTCCTCCCCGTCCTTCTCCTCCTCCACCCCGTCCTTCTCCTCCTCCACCCCCTCTCCTCCACCATGACACAGTCTGAAAGCTACTCTCCTCTCTCCCCTGACTCTGTCCAGAGAGTGTCCCGTCCTCTCTGTGGGCGAAAAGCACATCGGCCAGAATGGATATGATTGAATCGGACCGATCGGGAAGTGGGCATCGTGCTACCGTGAGGAACGCTGACTGAAGAGCGAGGGGACATTCTTGGCCACGGCGAGCCTCGGCGACGAATAGGTCCCCCGACCCCAGACTCGTGGAGCGTCCCGACAACGGGGCTCTCTCCTTAAGCCAGAATGGTCCTTGTGTCAGCGTCTTGACTGCAATTTGCGCGGGGAGCAGTGGCGTACGGACTTCGAGTGTGTCATAGGCCACCTTCATCGGCCGGATTCGCTTCAACTGGGAGCAGCGCCACTCGATGCAGTTACGATGGGCAGCAGGATCACTCAGCGTCGAATCGGAGCCGGGTCAGATCGGAACGTGTGCTGGATCGGCATGCAACGGCACGCGGTACGGAGTTTTGGACGCCAGAAATGGGTACCGGAAAAATTGGTACAATGCCCAACAGCAAAGGTTGTCCCAAACCAACAGCGGCCGCTGTTGGGCAGGCGGCCTCCTGTCTCGAATGGGCGCAGGCCGCGGCGGCGTGGACAGCGAATCCTGTTCGAACTGAACAAGAACTACTGTTGGGAGTTGTACAATCGGGGCGTTGACCTAAGGAACCCTCTTCGACTTCCCATGCAAAAGCCTAACGGAAACCCGAGGCAAACTGTAAAACAATCAAGGAACACCGAGCCCCTCCCCAACGAAAAGCGTTCCTTCTTCAAGGCCCAGAGGGTACTCATTCTTTCCGTACCCATTTCGGGCGCCCAGAGGAGTCGACAGAGGATCGGATCGGCCGCGCGCGAATGCACGACGGCACCGCGGGCATCAGACCGCGCCGGATCGCCGAACGTTGGAGTCGAAGAAGATCGCGCTGACCAGACTCGGTATTATCAGGTCGGGCATGTCCTCCTACAGGCGGAACTTGGACGAACAAATCAGAAACTGAGCAAACAAAGTCAAAAATCACGAAAAAGCCTTCCCAGACCGTGTTCTGACTATTCTCGAACATTCCTCCTGTAGAGGGACATGCCCGACGTAACGATGTGATGTATGATGGAATCGGGCCGATTAGATCGAGACGGACCCTGCTCGGCAGGCTGGAGGCCAAGGGGGACCTGACACCTCTGCGCCGATCCCGGCCAGGCGCACCATGGGGTGCAGGAGCGGTGCACACTGCCCTCCCGGATCGGCCACCGACAGACAAGCGCGTTGCACTACTCGCACAGAAACTACTCGCAAATGGCCTGGATCCGCCGCGCGCAAACTGCGATCCAGTACATCGAAGCAGAGACGTGTATGTTTTCTGACGCTCGCGAGAAGGCACTCTGCGAGCAGTGGGTCGCGCTCGATGAAACGAGGCAAATGTGCACCGATCCTGGGCCCAAGATCGGCCTGGCCAGGACTTCGGGCACCCAAAACCGTGTGACGACTAGGGGGCCACATGTGAACCCTACCCCTACGCCCCACGGTTTCTGGGGGAGGGCGGAATTCACTTCGCTCGGGAACTCCCGAACGAAGTGAACCCCACCCTCCCCCTCAGAAACCGTGGGGGGTAGGGGTAGGGTTCACATGTGGCCCCCTAACGACGCACTGCGTGGTGACCTCGGAAGCCCCAAACGACCTCACCGCGGCGCGGTCAGTCACCGCACGGCTTCGGGACCTCGGAGGCCCGTCGCCCGAGGCGTCCTCGCGGAGCGACCCGAGCCCCAGAAACCGTGCGGTGAATCCCGGATCCCCCAAGGACTCACCACGCGGTGTGGTCTCCTCTCGACCCTGGCGCGGGCTCCTGACACAGATCGGGTGTTGGCTAGAAGTGCCCCTGGCCCAAGGTGCCCCCAGCTTTTCGCTCAATGTTGCAGCCTCTGGGGCCCTCTGGGCCTCGTGAGGGGTGCCCTGGAGGCCGTCTGGGCCACCCCCAGAATCCTGGGGGCACAGGGCAGTTTTTAATACGTAGGATTTTTAAACATCTAGGATTCTCAATACATGATTAATTCATGAATAAGTTTATGCATGAACTCATGTTTTCAATGCTGGATCCCTGCATTTTTAATACATGATGCGCACGCGGAGCATGTATCAAAAACGGCACTGTACCTTGGGCCAGGGGCACTTCTAGCAGCACCCGAGCCGTGGAGGCGGTGCGGGGGAGAGGATTCCAGCACGGGCCCCGGGAACGCAGCGCGGCCGCCGGAACTCGCGCGGCCGTGCAGTCTGGCGCGCCCTCGACGCTGGGCGTCGCGAATGCACAAATGATGACGGGCGTGTTGTGGCCGCTTTCCGGCACCGCCTGATCCCGGGGCTTTGCCCTCTCCTGGCCTTGACGTGAGGCCCCTCCTTCTGTTTGCCTTCCTCTGTTAATTAAAGCTGTGCGCGGCCCGCTTAGCTTCGACTGTAAGAGGCTCGCTCTCGACCCGCGGATCAAAAAAGTGTTGTGGCCGCTGACGGGCCCCAGTCGAGAGTTGCTAACGGTGCCCCTGGGCCCCCTTGCTCTCCATTCTGAAGCCCCTGGGGACCACTGGGTCTCGCAAAGTGTGCTCTGGAGGCCGTGGGAGCCTCCTCTGAAGTCCTGGGGACGCCTTTGACCAAGAAAACCTCTGGCAGCACCCGACCCGGAGCCACCACGAACGGCCCGCGTCGAAAATCTGACCAAGGGAGTGGGGTCGGGAGCTCTGGGGCTCACGCCGTAAGAAAAGAAGTACACCAGAAGTAACAGAGGCCAAAGGCGGGGCGCTAGGAAATCGTATTTGACCCCTCTAGCTGGGTGGTCTCAGATAACAGCGATCAGTCGTGATGTACTTTGACAGTTTCTGGACCTAGCGTCACGGCGGCAATGGTATCACGGCAAAATGTTAAAGTTTGATTTCAGAGCGGCGTCTACGTGTGGCAAGGCGACTTGCCACTTGTCAGAGGCTTGCGCCTTCAAAACGCTGCAAGGCACTGTCAAGACTATACGGTGGCGGTGAACGCATTTTCATCAACGTTAACAAATAATTCTACTTCATCCAAAAGATGAATGCCGCGAAAGCGGCCGCCCTTTACAATGCGCAAGCGAGCTGGCATAGCTTGCAGCCACTCAGTTCTCAGCACCGACCCCTCGGGCAATCCCAATGCTCCCGTTTGGTCCTCATTAACAAATCCATGCATGACCATCACCATCGTCACCAACCCCTTATCATCTTGATGAGCGTCACCATCAGCATCGGCATCAGCTTCGCCAGTACCTTCAGCACCACCACCATCATCGTCACCAGCATCGCCATCAACATGACATCCTAAAGCACAGCATAGACAGCATGGCATCATAGGCATCATCATCATCATCATCATCATCATCATCATCATCATCATCATCATCATCATCATCATCATCATCGTCATCGTCATCATCATCATCATCATCATCATCAACATCATAATAATAATCATCAACATCACCATCATGGTCAACACCTTTATGCAGATCGTCCACATTATCACGGACAGCGTCATCATCACTACAACCCACCATGAACAAACGAATCCCTTTCCCTCCATCCTTCCTCTTCCTTCCCCCCTCCTTCGTCCATCCTCCTCCTGCCTGCCCGCTTCCCTGTCGTTCCCGCCCGCCTCTTCCTGCCAGCCCTGGCCCCCGCCTGCGCGCTCGCCGTCCGCCTGCGTCTCCCCCCCGCTCCTTTCGCTGGATAAAAAATGACTGTGCCGTAGGCTGGTGCGTCCTGAACTTGCCGGCGGCGCACAAAGGGGGTAGCGGAAAGGGGGAGAAGGCTTCTTAGAGGGAGGCTGCTCCTCAGAAGGCGCTGGCGCCAGCCCTACGAAGCCTTCCCCCCCTGCGCGTGGCCGAGAGTTGGCACGAACGAGAACGTGCCATCGCTCGGACGTCCATTCCACGTGCATGTTTCGGCTTCGTGCGCTTTTTGCTCGATGATCCAGGGTGCTCCTCGATGGTCCTCGCCGAAAAAATCCACACGTCCGAGCGATGCCAAGAGCGAAAGATCCACATGTCCGAGGTACACTGGGAACAGCTGCGACACCAACACCACCAGAGACCAGCAGCGGGAGGAGCCAGGGAGGGACCCCCCCCTGGTGGTGTGGTCCCCCCCCTCTCGCTCGAGACATCCCCTATCCCCAGATCGGGGAGGCATCGTGGGCCTCCTCGCTGGAGGTGGCCCCCTGGTGGTGTTGGTGTCGCTTCTCCTTCCCCCCAGGCACGGGGCCTGGACCCCGCGGCTCTTGATAACCCAGCCGCTGGGGGCCTGGGCAACCAGCAGCGGGAGGAGCCAGGGAGGGACCCCCCCCTGGTGGTGTGGTCCCCCCCCTCTCGCTCGAGACATCCCCTATCCCCAGATCGGGGAGGCATCGTGGGCCTCCTCGCTGGAGGTGGCCCCCTGGTGGTGTTGGTGTCGCTTCTCCTTCCCCCCAGGCACGGGGCCTGGACCCCGCGGCTCTTGATAACCCAGCCGCTGGGGGCCTGGGCAAGGCCCGGGGGGGCCCGAAGGCGGCGGAAGACTCCTGCGACGAGCGGAGGCCGACCTCGACCTGCTGAGGCAGGAGATGCCCTAGGGCCCTCCCCTTGCCCCTGCGCCGCCTCCTCCGCCTCCTCCCTCCTCCTCCTCCTCCTCCACCTCCTCCTTCTGTACCTCCTCCACCTCCTCCACCTCCGCCTCGTCCGCCTCCGCCTTCTCCTCCTCCTCCTCCTCCTCCTCCTCCTCCTCCTCCTCCTCCTCCTCCTCCGCCTCGTCCTCCTCCTCCTCCTTTTCCTCCTCCTCCTCCTCCTCCTCCTCCTCCTCCTCCTCCGCCTCCTCCGCCTCCTCCTCCCTCCCATCCACCTCCTCCTCTCCCCTTCTACCACCACCACCACCGCCACCACACCATCCATCCTCCACCTCCCTCCTCCCTCCTCCACCCCCCCCATCCCTCCTCCCTCCTCCTCCTCCCTCCCTCCTCCTCCTCCCTCCCTCCCACCCTCCCTCCTACATCCCTCCTCCCTCTCCTCCCGGCCTTCCCCTCTGTGCTCGGCGGGACAGCGTCCAGCAGCGGGGCTAGCGGGCGGCGCGGCGGGAGAAGGGGGGGGGTGGGGGGGGGGCGAAGCGGAAGGAAGGGGAGAGGAAGGAGGCGAGGCGGAGGAGGGGGCGAGGGAGGAGGAGGAGGAGGAGGGAGGAGGAGGAGGAGAGGAGGAGGAGAAGAGGAGAGGAGGAGGAGGAGGAGAGGAAGGGAGAGAAGGAGGGGACAAAAGGGAGAGGAGGAGGAGGAGGAAGAAAGGAGGAGACGAGGGAGGGGAAGGAGGAGGGAGGGAGGGAGGGAGGGAGGGAGGGAGAGAGAGGAGGAGGAGGAGGAGGAGGAGGAGGAGGAAGAGGAGGAGGAGGAGGAGGAGGAGGAGGAGGAAGAGAAGGAGGAGGAGGAGGAGGAGGAGGAGTAGGAGGAGGAGGAAGGCGATTCAATCGCACATCCAACCTCGCTCTCTCCGTGCCTGTTCGAGCCTCTCCTTCTCTTACTCCTCCAACCAAGGAATTCTAGCAGGGTGCTCGCTAGCCACATCTATGATGCAGGTGCTATTGTGCCGTAGCCTTATGCGAGCCCAGCAGATTTGTCCAAGTATGAAGCCCCGCGATCTGATAGACGACGCAAGCTTTCACTGGTCGGGACACCGACTTGGCAAAGGAGATGTTGGCAAGGATGGTTCTCAGGAGTTGGCCCTGGTGGTGCGCAATTTTAGAGACAGCGTTAGGCCGCTAGGGCTCATCATTCAGCCGAGTAAATCAGGTTGCGTGGCCAACTGTGCGCGCAGTTGCAAGCGATTCGCTAGACATGTTCGTACGTTCGGGATCGCCAAGAGAGCTGCGATGCGCAACTTGGGCCATGAGATGCATGGCTCGAGGGTTAGACGTGTGCAGGAAGAAAGTCGTACACGCACATTGCAGGCCAAGCGTGGGAAGGTTTGGGGTCTCAAGCACGCGACTGGGGAGGCTGCTAAGACACTGTGGAGGACGGGGCTCCTTCCAGCTGCTGGGCACGGTGCTGGGGTGTCTGGGATTTCGGACACGTCTCTGCGTGAGCTTCGGACGTTTGCGGGAGGTCTTGCGGGAGCCCAGCCCAAGGCATGCCTGACCTTGTACCTGGCCAAGCAGAAGGACGGTCGGTTCGACCCGATGTTTGATGCGACGGTTCCGCTGATAGGGCGTTACTCTGCAGCGCTGTGGGAAGACAGAGTCGATCAGACACGCCTTCACCAAGCATGGGCTCGGATTCGTAATATAATGGCTAGCCATGTCACGTGGGCGGGGGCTCGAGGGCCCCCCCCTCCCATACCCCCCCCCCCTCGAACTCGAAAACCGGGGGGGGTCACTACCGGTTCGAACCCCCCCCCCCCCTCGAAAACCGCAGGGGGGGATCACTACCGGTTCGAACCACTGAGCTGTCCCACTGTTCCCACCACTGTCCCCACTGTCCCACCACTGTCCCCACTGTACCTCTGTCCCATTGTCCCACCGCCGTCCTCGCCACCGCCTTCACCACTGTCCCCACCACCACTGTACCTCCACTGTCCTACTATTTCCACCACATTCCCACTGTCCCCACACCACTGTCCCCACCACCACCGTCCCCACCACTGTCCCACTGTCCCCCCTGTTCCCACCGCTGTCCTCACCATTGTCCCCACCACTACCGTCCCCACCACTGTCCCACTGTCCCCACCACTGTCCCGCTGTCCCCTCACCACTGTCCCCACCACCGTCCCCACCACTGTCCGCACCCCCGCTCGGTTTTCGAGGGGGGGGGGTTCGAACCGGACCCCCCCAGTTTTCGAGCTCGAGAGGGGGGGGGAGGGGGTTCGAACCGGTAGTGACCCCCCCCCCTTTTCATGATGAACTTCGGGGGGGGGGGGAGGGGTTCGAACCGGTAGTGACCCCCCCCCGGTTTTCCAGAGGGGGGGGGGAAGGGTTCGAACAGGTAGTGACCCCCCCCGGTTTTCCGCCAGCAGCGGTAGAACACGCTCTTTCTGATGAAAAGAGGCCTCCCGACGAAATCCTGGAGCATCGTGATGCCATGATTGTCAATCACGGCTCTGGGCCCCAGGGCCTGAAAACTTTCTACCTCAGCTATGGGCTGCCGCCGGAGCCGCCACTGCCCGAAACTCCCTGCGCTGAATATCCTATCCTTGGGCGGGGGGGCTGGCGTGGAGTCTGGGGGCGGAGGGTGACAGGTCTGGTTTCGCATCGGTGACGCCAGGACTCACGCGTTGCGGATGGTCTGTAGTTGAGAGCTCGGCGAGTCAGGCATAACTCCTAGAGCTGTCTTTGGAGCACTCCCAGGGTTCATCCAGACTGTGCCGCGAGCGGAGTATCACGCGGCGCGCATGGCTGTGCAGTTCGCAGGCAGCGATGCCGACATTATCTCTGATCATGTATCGCTAGTCAAGGCTGGACAGACGTGGGGGCCACACAACGAAAAGGCCCAATCTCGTCACGCGTCAGTCTGGAGAGCGATGCACAGCACATGCCAGCGCAAAACCCCGAGATTTGCCTGGGTCCCAGCGCACAGATCCGTAGAAGAGGTGCTAGACGACCCTGAGGCGTCCTTTTTCGATTTTATAGGCAATGAATGGGCAGACCATTTTGCGAAGAAAGGAGCACGCACGCATATGGTTGCCCAGACGCTCGAGAAGATTCATAAGTTGAGTCTTGCCGAATTCGTCATGGCCGCTCGAATTTTGTCCTGGATGACCAGGACGGTGGCCAGAAGGGCTGATGAGCTCCAGCTGCGGGTTGACCTCCCCGAGCCTCGCAGAGCTCCCCCTCCAATGGCCCCTTGTCGTCCTTGAAAATCAAGATTTCAGAGTGTGCGGCCCTCTGTCGGAGTTCCGTTGTCGATTGTGCAACCGGTGGGCTCGCACAGCTGCTCCCCTCCGTGCACGCCGTCGCCGTCGTGGGGGGCGGCGGGAGGGACGCGGTCGGCCTGGCTCTCTCTGAATTGGGCCATCAGGTTGAGAGGTTTAGTGATCACGTGATCTGCCTGCCTTGTGGTGCCTACTCTATTGATCAGAGCCGCAACCGTAAGCTCGAAGCTCGGTGTGTCGGCCCGTCCCCAGTCGCTTCGACTCGGTCTAATCGAGAGCAAGCCATCTCACGACTGATGAGAGGGCTGCATCCACGCACGGATAAGCTGTTTCCTGTCGTCGTTCGATGAGCCTCCGTCGTTCGATGAGCTTGGTTGGGGGTGTGGGGGGGTGTAGGAGCGGTGCTCGGCAGCCATCCTTGTCGGCTGCTCCACCGCTTACTCTTCTCATGCTCGGGCGCGCTCGATCGGATCGGCCGCGCCTTCCATCGCTCGTGACCTCCTCCTCCTCCTCTTCTCCTCCTCCTCCTCCTCCTCCTCCTCCTCCTCCTCCTCCTCCGCATCCTCCTCCTCCTCCTCCTCCTCCTCCTCCTCCTCCTCCTCCTCCTCCTCCGCATCCTCCTCCTCCTCCTCCTCCTCCTCCTCCTCCCCCGCCTCCTCCTCCTCCTCCTCCTCGTCGTCCTGCTCCCGCCTCCTTCCCTCCTCTTTCATTCTCCTTCATCGTCACAGGGGGGGTGGGGCGGGGGGGGGCTCTCCAGGAATGCGCTCGCGGGGCTGTTCATGAACGGGTGGCTGTCCTCGAGCGCCTGCTTCGCTGGGTGCGCCTGGCTGCGAAGCGGCGGCGGGGCCCAGGCAGACAGGAAGGAAAGATGAAGAGGAGAAGGAAGAGGAGGAGGAGGAGGAGGAGGAGGGGGAGGAGGAGGGGAGGGGGGGGGAGGGGGAGGGGGAGGAGGAGGAGGAGGAGGAGGAGGAGGAGGAGGAGGAGGAGGAGGAGGAGAGGAGGAGGAGGAGGAGGAGGAGGGACGACGAGGAGAGGAGGAGGAGAGGAGGAGGAGGAGGAGGAAGAGGAGGAGGAGGAGGAGGAGGAGGAGGAGAGGGAGGAGGAGGGGGAGGAGAAGGCGGAGGAGGAGGAGGGGACGAGCAGGAGGAGAGGAAGATGAACAGGAGGAGGAGGAGGAACAGGAGGAGCAGGAGGAAGCAGGGAGATTGAGGATTATGGGTTCTAGGTTGGCCTCGCGCGCGCCCGCGTAGGGGGCACGAGGTCCAGGCAGAGGAACAGACAGGCGGCCAAACGCGACCTCAGACGGCGACGCGGCGGCGGCTACACGGCAGCTGCCGCTCGCGCGGGGGCGGGGTGCGGGCAGGCGCCTCCGACGCGCCGCAGCCTCTCCCGCGCAAAACATGGCAGAGGGTCACGGTCCTATAGGCGGCACCAGGGGCCACGAGACCCTGAACAGCGAGAGGTTGAGCAGGATGCAAAGTGTGTATAGTTGTACCCAGGACGGCCCTGCTTCAAGGGGCAATATAGGCATGTGGAGCCCAGGGTGTGTGTGTGTGTGTGTGCCCTCAGAGAGCTCCACGCACATCATTAAACCATATATCTGCATGTCCAACATGGGGATAGTCACCGTTCCCATCGCAACAGTAGTGTTTGGGTCACATAACGCTAGCAGACGCTCCAGCCGCCTTGGAGAGATATCGACAGCACCGTTGTGGCGACCTTGTCCGTTGGAGATGTGCGACATTAGTGCAACTGTAGGCCGCGCCGAGGCGGCAAACTGCGTATGAACCCGACAGGGGGGATGAGGAGTTGAGCGGAGGTCAAGGGACGAGCAGAAGGCCAGCGGGGATGGCCTCAGAGCTTCCCTGGCCTCTAGCAGGAGGAAGAGAAGGAGGAGAAGTGAGTCTGTCCTATACGCACGTTTGCCACGACGAGCGCCTCTAAAAGGCTGCCCTGCTGAAGTTGCGCAGCATAGCTCTTGGCACGCTTGGGGGAGGAGGGGGGGAGGATTGATGGGCAACGGCGGGGAGGGACCAGCTTGGGGGGGACATCGACCTGCAACGGAGATACATCGCCGATAGATTGGCGACAGGCCCCCGACAGCGAATGCGCACAGTCCAGAGCGGGACGGGGCGTGGCAATCGAGCCCAGATCGGCGACGAAGGGGCGAGTGCGGGTCGGACGCCGAGGGAGGCTGATGGGGAGAAAGAGGAGGAGGAGGAGGAGGAGGAGGGAAAGGAGGAGGAGGACGGAGAGGAAGGAGGAGGAGGAGGAGAGGAGGAGGAGGAGGAGGAGGAGGAGGAGGAGGAGGAGGAGGAGGAGGAGGAGGAGGAGGAGGAGAGGAGGAGGAGGAGGAGGAGGAGGAGCGGGGCGCGGGAGAACGGGGGGGGCTGGAGGATCTCGAGGGGCGAGGATCAAGGCGTGTTTCCCCGAGGACCGAGGACAGAAGATTGGAGGTTGTTCGGCCGAGTATTGTTCGGCCGAGTATCGGGGACCGAACATTGCGTAGTCGAGGGTCGAGGGCCGAGGACCCAAACTTGTAAACTCGTTTGGCCGAGGGTCGAGGACCGAGGCTGGATGGGGGGGATCAGGTACGAGACAGCGGCACGAACATAAAAACTCTGAGGCCCGCGCGGATTTCTCGGATCGGCGCTGACCCCCCTCCCAGGCGCGCGGAGCGCGCCAGGGGTGGCGCGGGAAGCGGCGCCCAGGATGGGGGCAACGCAGGTCTGAGATATCCGCGCGGGCCTCCGACCAAGTATGTTTATGTTGCTGGTTCCTCATCCCTCCTCCTCGTCGTCCCTCCTCCTCCCTCCTCGTCCCTCCTCCCTCCTCCTCCTCCTCCTCCTCCTCCTCCTCCTCATCCGCCTCCTGCTCCTCCTCCTCCGCCTCCTCCTTTCCTCCTCATCCTTTCCTCCTCCTCCTCATCCTCCTCTTCCTCCTCCTCTTCCTTCTTAGTCGCCTTAATATACGTAGCAGCCTTCTTAAACTGACTACTATACGTACGCGTGTTATCATTAGTACTGTTAGCAATAGTTATGCTAGCATTAATAATACTATTTAGAATACTAAATAATGTTAGTATGATTAGAATTAGCATTATCATTACCACTATGAATAGCATTCGTTTTATTAGTAGTATTGGTACTGTCACCATGCTGCTAGTGTTATGCTGAGTGTTCGTTTGACTACTGTGCTTATGTTCGTAAGAGTAGTATTTTTATTCGTACGAGTGGTGGTCGTCGTATTAGTATTGTTTGCCTTAGTACGAGCACGCTGTAAGCAGTAGTATTGCTAGCATTGGTAATAGTATGACTAGCGTAAGTCTTCTTATTCATCCTCCTCCTCCTCCTCATCCTCCTCCACCTCTCCTCGTCCGAAACGCTTGAGAGTTTTAAACGAAACGAGAACCACATGTTGAAAACCGCCCGCCCTCAATCCGTGAAACGCTTGCAACATGTGTTTAAACGAATGCGCGCGGCGCTGAAGCGGAAACAATATGTTGAAAACCACCAGCCAGCCCTCAATCCATAAAGTGCTTACAACTGCTTAGAACGAATGCGCGCGGTGCTATGGCGAGAACCACATGTTGAAAACAACCCGCCCTCAAGCCGTGAAACAACTCGTGCGTGCGGCGCAAAGGCGAGAACCACATGTTGAAAACCACCTACCTCCATGTGCGAACCAGTTGCCAATTTCTGAACTTCCGGATCATGAACGGCTGGCCGCCCTTCTCACGGGCCCAAAGGTGCGACAAGAAGGAGCTATTCATATGGAAAAATATGGGGGAGGAGGACAAGGAGGAAAAGGAAGAGGAGAAACAACGACGACGACGACGAGGACGAGAAGCAGGAGGGGGAGAAAAACTAGGAGGAAGAGGAGGAGGAGGAGGCAGAGGAAGAGGAGGAGGAGGCGGCGGCGGAGGAGGCGGACGAGGCGGCGGCGGAGAAGGCGAAGGCGGAGGACGACGAGGCGCGCAGGGGGCGCTGCGGGGGGCGTGGCGCGCCCGCAGGCAGGACACGGAGATCTGGCCGTTCTGCGCCGCGCGGATCCCGGGGAGGCCCTCGATCCTGCGGAGAACGGCGGCCGCGCACCGAAAGTTGAGCAGGGACCGACCGTCCCGGCATTCCTATAGTCATACCGCGAAATGTCCTTAGAACCCAAAAATGTTCTAAGAACAAAAACAATGTTCTTAGAACATAAACTCGATAAGTTAAAACAAGACAGTCCCAGCCAGACATGTTCTAAGAACATCTCGTGGGAGCCACAAGAGGTTCTTAGAACATCGTTCGGTGGGGCTAAAGGCGAGCCAGGACGCTTCGCCAGGCGGCGGGGGGGGGTGGCTCCAGAGGCGTTTCCTCATAACGCCTCCCGCGACGAGCGGAATTCGGAGAAACTCCAGTGCAGCCCGACGGCAGGACTGCACGGGAGTTTTTCAAGATAGGTCTTGAGCACGCAGTGCCACGGAACGCCCGCAGCGCCAAGCACCGCGGCGGCCGCGCACCGAGAGGGCGCCCCGCCCGGGGAGCGGAGGGCCCTCGCCCGGCCCCCCCCCCCTGCAGGAGCAGGCGCCGCCCGCCCTGGCACCACGAAACGTCCCTGGGCGAGGGACAACAAATGCTCGAAGCACAGCAGCGATGTTGTCAGACCAGGGAGGTGATGATAACGCTCGACCCCCCCCTGCAGGAGCAGGGGCCGCCCGTCCTGGCACCACGAAAATGTCCCTGGGCGAGGGAAAAAACATGCTCGAAGCACAGCAGCGATGTTTTCAAACCATTGCGAAAATGTCCCTGGCCGGGGGACACCACGCTCGAAGCACAGCAGCGATGTTGTCAGACCAGGGAAGAGGTGATGATAACACCAGCCACTGGATCAGAACAGGGCAGTCTCTGCCACACCTGGTCTGAGAACACTTCGCGCACAGCACAGGTGATTGGAACAGTCTGTGGTGGCCGATGAGCAAGCCAAAACTCTTCGCCAGCGTTTGACCCTCAAGCCACGCCAACTTGGGTGGGCGTAGCCAGAAATCATACTCAGGACGTGCAGGGTGCGACCCAACCGGAATAGCGAGGGCTGGCACAGGCGCCCGGAGTCGAGACGCATCGGGCCGGTGAAAGTCGATACCAAGCCGGACTGGTCGGGCCACTGGACACTGCACAGCGGGCGGCGAGAGAGGTCGTCCTGCTGCTGCTGTGCCCTGGGCCCCACGTGGCCGACCCCAGGAGCACCGAATCCAAAACTGATGACGCCTTACAGCTGCTTCGGCCGGCTGCCGCCGAACTTCTGCCAGGCGTTGCTGGCGGGTCACCGCCGCCTTCCGTCCGCCAAATTCTACCAGTCTCCCGCCGACGGAGATACGATCCGAGGGAAAGCCCTTCCTGGAACGTGGCGGTTACGTGGGGACCCGATGCAAGCCCCATCCCCTGATCCTCGACCTCCCTATCCTTGTCGGCTGCAACTCCGTCCAACTGATATAGAGCAACGGTTGCTGCCGGCGCGAATCCGCCGTGCGCTCTGGCGCGCGGAGCTGCTTGACCCCTGAAAACAATAAGCTTGCAGCGGAGGCCAATTTTCGAAACGTGCGGATGCAACGCCCCTGGACGCCCAAATCGCACGAATTGCAGCAACGCGCGGCCAAGAACCCGACGAAACAATGGCGCCCCGCCCCTGGGCTGGAAGGTCACCCCCCAGTGCAGCACTATTCCCCCGCATCCCATCGTTTTTCCTTTCCTTCCCTCGTCCCCCTCCCTGTTCAAAACCACCCTTCTGCCTCGTAGTTTGTCCCTCCCCCCCTTTTCTTCCACCACCGCCTCAGCCCCCTTTTCCCCCTTAACCGTTTCAACGTCATCCCCCCTCCTCCTCCCCACCCCGTCATGATCTGCAAATTCCTCATGCTCATCATCATCACCATTATCACCATCATCATCACCACCACCACGATCACCACCCTCACCATCATCATGAGTATCACCACCGCCACCATCTTCAGCATCACCAACGCCACCAACACCATCAACAACAACAACAACGACAACAACGACAACACCGTTACCATCATCACCAGCACCACCCTCATCATCGTCATCATAATCACCATCATCAGCATCATCGCCAACAGACACATCATCATCACCATCAACATCATCATCATCGTCATCATCATCCTCATCACCATTATCATCATCACCATCATCATCATCATCATCATCATCATCATCATCATCATCATCATCATCATCATCATCATCATCATCATCAGTATCGCCCAGGATGGGCGAAGGAGAGGGGCGCCGCCCCAGCTGCAAGCTTTGACATGAAGAGGGGTCGGGGGCCCCACGGCTGCAACCCCCGCAGGGGCGATCAGGCCAAGATGAGATGGCCACCCCTCGGGGTGACGCGGCTTTTCGCCGAAGAGCAGGAAGCTGCGATGTGCGCTCGATGTGGCACTCCTGATCCCGCAACGGTCGACAATACCTGGCGGGCTGCCTGGCCCGTGCGGCGCCGGTGGAGGCATGGACCCACCAGGTGCCAGGCGCGCCGAAAGAGGGTCGATACGAATGCGAAGACGAGTGGAAGGGGGAAGGGGGCTGGAGGTGGAAAAGCGCGCGCCCTCGAGCCCGCTGAAAAGAGGAGCGGAAAAAGAGAGCACACCCATGATCACCCCGAACTCGCTAACAGCCCATTCCCAACGATAATATCTATCAGAACCCACCCTTCCTTCCCATAACTGGTGTTGCTACTATCGCCCGGGATGGGCGCAGGAGAGGGGCGGCGCCCC